GGCTGGGCTCGGTGGGTGTGAGGGCAGCGGGCTGGATCAGGCCCCTGAGGCAGCCGGCTGTGCCCACCAGAGTTTCTGCAGATGTTTGCTCTGCGGGCAGCCGAGGCGGGAGCCAAGTGCGGGGAGCAGCAGTCAGCCCGGTGTCGGGGTTTCCCTCGGCGGAGCAGGACTGGCTGCAGCCTCCTTCCCTGGGGAACCTTCAGGGGATTGAGCGAGGCTGAACGGAGACCCTGCAGCTGCCTCCCTTTGCCGTCAGCCCGAGGGGTCCTCACTCCAGTGGTGGTCTCTGGTGTGTGCGGTCCACGCGAAATGCATCGTTGAGCTTTGCTGCGTGTTCAGCATGAGGTGGCTTGAGCTTAGCTTGTTACAAAGCTTTTCAGCTGTTCTTCTGTACGTCCTCAGTACGCCCCTCTGATGGGTACAGAGAAGGAGTAGTGTTCCTGGTAGAGCTGCTGTTCATGTGTGTGGGCATCTTACTGAAGGTGGCCAGTAGGTATTTGCAACTCTTTGCACCTTCAGCTTCACTATCTCTCACTGAAGTAATTATCTTGTGAACTGCCGTATTAAATTATTTCAGGAAAATAGGACATGTTCTTATTGCTTTCTGTTATGTGGTCAGGTAATGTGAGCTCCAGCAGTGTCTCTAAGCAAACATTGCTATTATTGTGTAATTAATGAGTCCTATAGGCCTAAACCATACCCAGCATATCTTCTTCAGGCATGAGAGTTTGGACTGAGCTGCCAGTCAAGGACCTGAGCTGCCCAGCAATCAGCACTTGGACAGGACAGCAGCTGTAGTGTAGCGTGAGGGTTTTTGAGTTTGCTTTGGTGATGATAATATGCTCTTCTGCAGCTCTGTCTGAAGTGGTTTTGTCTACCTTCATAGACATTTGCTTTTAAAACCTGTTGGTCCCCAGTTTTCCATAACATGCATGAAAGTGGTTCCGTCAATCCTTGAGGAAAAGCAGAGCATGGAAATTAGGAATGGGAACGTAAAGCCTTCTCTTCAACCTTGTTTTCAGCACTACAGAGACATCACAATCACACTGCTTCCACGTGGGAAATACATGTATTAAGTGTGATTGCCAGAGACATGGAGAGAGGTGAATTGATTTGCTGAGGATCAGAGAGTTGATGTCAGTACTGGGATCAGTCCTGAGGGCTTCTTGGCTCCCAGCTGGTTGATGATACTTTTTTTTTTGCATTACTTGGGTGAAGAGAACACAGTGATGTATGTTTCTGTCTGCAAGTTCTTTACAGCTCCTAGTTCTCTGCAGCTGATATATAAAGTAAGACCACTGGTATAACACCCAGAGTATTAGGACAAAATTTAACCTTATATATGCCAGGACAATTCCAGAATGTTTTTTTCTCTGACTGCAGGGGTTCAAGCCAATGCAACTGAGAGAAATTTAGTCCATCACTTACAAATAATAAATAACCAATTTTACAAGAAATTATTCTAAGGCTTAATCTGTGAGTATTGAGTAACTCATAGCATTTCACCTGATACTTGCTAAAGCAGTCAAAAGGAGTGAGTTGTGCATGTAAAGGTGTTGTACCTGTTTCTCAAGAACTCCCCACGTAACTGTCTTCCTTGTTTTGTTGCTAGGAGCATTATAGTGTACTAAGAAAAGCCTTCTTTTTTGTCTTTTTTGTTTGTTTTTGGTTTGGTTTGGTTTGGTTTTCTCCCTGAAAGTCAAAGTAAATAGCCCTTGTCAGGTACTGGGAGACTTTGCTTTTCCTGAGTGATTGTTAAAGACCATCTGATGACTAGAGCCACCAAAGCTCCCATTTTGGTTTTTTGTTGGTTCTCTCCATGGCAATAAGGGCTCCCGTGTGCCTGTGCTGTGCAGTGATCTTAGAGGGATGCCAGTGCTTGTGATCCTCCTTACGTGGCAATGAGTAACAGGGAGAGGGAGTCTGACCCACAGAAACCTTACACTGGTGTTCCATGAGCTGATCTAAGTAAGTTCTGAGTTGTTGTTTTTTTTAAGCAAAACCTGTCTGTTTTTCATAAGGACAATTTTAGGCTGGCTTTTATGAGTGTCTGCCTGCTAACTGTTTTTTCAGCTTCTTGGAGCTCACCTGCCAATAAATGAATGCAGGTAGTGCAATATCAGGAAATGCACTTAGTGAATTGTATTGTGTTGTACTTTTTTTTTCCCTTTTTTTTTTTCCCCAATAGTTTAAATCAGTTTCCTGAGTGCAATGGGTACACAGCAAAAGGAGTGGTTTGTTTTTCTAGTTATATTGCTTTCTTCTTCCACATTTGCATCCCCTCTAAAACAACTGTCCTTGCAAAATTTAACCTAAATTCAACTTCTGTCAACAAGGTGAACATTAAGAAGCTGTTGTTCTGGGAAGCACTGATAAAGTGTATGAAAAAGTAATGTGAAAAGCCTGCATGAGTCTCCCTGCTGCCCTGTTCTGTCCTGTCCTGCACACTCTGCTCTGCAGAATTGCAATTGCAATCTATAGCAATGGTGCAATGGAGAAGGGAGCTGAAAAAAAATCCTGGCTTGTTCTCTCAGATCCCCTTGAAAAATGGGCTGTTGGGTGGGCCAGCTCTTTCTCTCCCAAATCTTGTTATAATCCATTTATACTGGGAAAAAAAGCAGGTTTGCTGCCAGGCAGCATACTTTCCATCAGCACACGTAATTGCTGGGTGGTGGAGAGAGGTAGAGACTCTGGTTTTCAGGCTGGAGGGAGGAAGCATAGCCAGGGTGTGTGCTGCACGGCATTGCCATGTGCCTGACCAAGAATTCCAGGTTTTGCAGAGATGTGGGCTCGGCTGTGTAAACAAACCTTCTGTCCATTCACTCCTCAGCATGGTCAATAGGAAGGGAGGCAGGTAGCCAAGCTTCAAGCAACTTGAGGAACAGAGAGCTGGACCAGGGGTGCAGCTGCAACAGGGCTCTTTTTTTTAGCCTATTTTGATATCCACACAGAACACACGGGCCATGTGAAGTTGACTGAGCCAACCTTGACTCTGCTGCACACAAGCCTGCCTTGGAGCTCTGCTCTTCTGGCCAGTGGTTCAGCAAAACAAACAAGTTTTGCTCCCATGACCTGAAGGCCAGACTAGCTGCTGAGGTTACTGGAGGAGGTGTGGGTTTGACTTCTGGTGTGGAGAGGAGTCTCTTGTGTAGGCTGACCCACAGCAAACACTGTTCAGTGCTGTTTGGACTGCCTCTGAGGGAGCAAGAGAAGGTGTTGTGCCAGCATATGAGGATGAAGCGCAGATGCACCCACTGCTGAGAGGGACCTTCTTGTAGTGACCTCTAGACCACCCCAAAGGTTCAGCCAGGATCTCTCCAACATCTATACACATATAGTAGAGGGAGACCTTGACTTAAAACATTTTTTTGAGATTTAAAGATTATTTTAACAAGTGTGTAAATCCTGTAGCAGTTCCTGCATAGCACTTCATAGCTCCTTTCCTCCAAGCAAAGCATCTGTTCTGTACCAAAGTGGCCCTGAGCCACCATGAGACCAGGCATTGCAGGCCCTGAGGACTAACAAACATTCAGCATCTGAAAGGAGCCCATAAGAAGGCTGAAGAAGACCTGCTCGTGACAGCATGTAACAAAAGAAAAAGGGGTAATGGTTTCAAGCTAAAAAAGAGTAGATTTAGGTTGGACATCACTGAAATGGGTTGCCTAGAGAGGTGGTGGAGGCCCCATCCCTGGAGATGCTTGAAGTCAGGCTTGATGGGGCTCTGAGCAATCTGTGTGAGATGTCCCTGCTTATTGTAGGGGGGCTGGACTAGATGACATTTAGAGGTCCCTTCCAACCCAAGACATTCAGTGATTCCATAATTCCATTATTCCATGAATTTCTTACTCCTGTGCTGCTACTGGTAGTGTTGTGGTGCTGGCTGAGCAGAGGCACAAGCAGCCCTGCAGGCTGCAAGGTGCTGAGAGGTCAGGGCAGAGCCTGTTTGCCCGACTTGGCCTCTTAGTTGAAGATGGAAAGAGAGAATTGAAACTGTACACACAGTCTAGTCAGAGCGGGTACGGGTACGTGGGAGGAGGTGGGTTAAGCCATCCCCTCCCCCTACGGCTGCCGAAGTGAAAAGGTTCAGGAGTCAACCTAATACTGAGCCCTTAAAGGACCCAGCTCAGCCCACAGAAGGACTAATTCATTATTTGATCAGGCTTTGGATCAAGACAGTCAGAGGGTTTGAATTGGTGATAGCAGCTGGTAACGAGGGTGGTGATTCCTGCTCCCCCTCCCACTTGCACACAGCTGGGTAAGGTCTCTTTCATCTGCCTTCAACCAGCTTGTTTGGCCCATCCTCTCCTCTTTCTGCTGGGAGGACTTTATTGTTTCCTGTTTCATCTAAAATTTCTTAACTTCTCTGTCCTAAAATACGGTAGCTTATCTTTTGTGGCTGTGTTTCACATCTTCCTGTATGCTCATAGACCTGTTTCCTGCCTCCTCTCCTGCATTTTCTGTTTCTCACACTGGTTCTCTAAACCCAGCTCCCCAAGCAAGTGTTTCTACCTTGCAAGCTGCTTACAGCAGCAGAGTGCCTTTTCCGAGACTAAACAATCCCAGACAAAACTGTACCAGCCCTTGCATTTACACAGCTGCTATTTTGACCCGAATCCATTTAAAAAGGAGAGGGCTGGTGAGTGAGGATGGAGTCAGAGGAGGGAGGTCCTTGATTGCCTCTGTGTCTTTGACACTGACAGACCCACAGTGTGATTTGCATGCTTTCCCATGGGAGAAGCAGCGTTTTAACTCTTCCCTAATCACTTCAAAGCTGATTATTTCTGGTTTCTTGAGCTTTTGCGATCACTTTTATTAGGTAAAGGGCTGAGTTAATCTCTTTTTTAATCAATCCCTAATTTAGATAACTGCATTATGAACCCTTCTTCTGCCTGAACTTCCTCATTTGTTCTGTTTGTGTTTTGCAGACTTCCTGGCTGTGCTTCAGTGTTGGGTGACTGAATACAGTCTTCTCTGCATCACAGTGACAGTAGTAATGTGAAGTTTAATGAGCATCTGCAAAGTTGTGTAGCAGGTAAGTGCTTTGAGGGCCATTCCTCCTTCCAGATTCAATGTGATTTTAAAAAGCTACTTGATGGGCTCTCACTAGGAGACTTCAAGCCTTGCAGCAGAAATGCTGGAAGGAAAGTTGTGTGGCTCATATTTTAGTAACCATTCCCAGAAGCAAGGGTCAGGCAGCACTTGCAAAGCAAAAGCAGCAGTACTGTGAAGGTGTAATTTGAAAATGGCTTCAGTTTAGCAGATCAGTGTTAAAAGCCTCTCTCTTTTGATATTTGGTATAAAATTGCTTTTATCTGATTGCTTAGTACAGTTGGGGTCTAGTCAGAGAATGATAGCAAAAGGGAACCAACAGGTCCAGTCTTTGCTGCATTTTCTGCTATGTAGGAGGTCTTCCCAGAGGTACATTATCCAGACTGGGAAAGCACTGGATCTCCCCCCCACCTTCTAGGTGTAAGAGGGAGAGCAAAGGCCTGGAAGTGCCTGGACAACCTCTTGATGATCAGGGATGACAGCAGAGGCAGCCAGATTGAAGGGAAATAGTGGCTTTTACAAGCCAGCAATGTGTAGGGTTTTCACGTTTGTGTGGAAACCCCTGAAAAACCCACTGAGAGCAGAACTGTGGGGTGAAACCCAGACGTCTGGCAGTGCTGATCTGTGAATATGTGACAGAAGGCTCTGTTGGTAGCAGTGATGGGAAGGGAAGAGCTGGAGCTGATGGCAAAGGAAGCAGAGCAGCGGTCCTGGCTGCCACAATGTCCTGCTTACAGCTCTGAGTACCTGTTACTTCATGTACTCCACATGACTTTTTCTTATTTATTCTGGACCTGTGTCTGTGTTGGGTGGTGTCTGTCCCTTTCCTCCCATCCCAGTCAGTTCACACGGCTGCTCAGCTCTGGCAAAGCTCAGCTCACAGCATTGCCTGGCATGCTTCTCCAGCCAGCCCTGATCTAAGCTGTGAGAGTTGGCCCACTGCCATCCTCCTGTATGTAAATGAAGCTCTTTTTGCTTTCCCCTTGCCATCTTTTATTATTATCCTTCTTCCAGAGGCAGGTTTTTCGGGCTGATCTAGCACATTATTCATATCAGTAATATTTGCCTCAAGGCAGAGGCTTTTTCAGCATTTACAGGGAAAATATCTGATGCACCCCCTGCCATGCATATGGCTTGGAAAAACCAAGCATTGTGTTGGCACAGATGAGGACCATTGAGGCCAACTGTTGCAAAATTTAAACCCTGTTAGGCACAGTCTCCAATTTATATGATTATTTCAGTTGCCTGGCAAAGGAAAACATACTGTTCCTTTGCTTTCAAAACCAGAAGGAAGAGCACGTAGAGGTGGTTCTTGTGCCTGAGCTGCAAAGTCACATCAGCTATGAGATGTCAGGTGAGCCACCTGTGTAACCAACTACATCTTTCTCTGAGTTGCCTCAAGGGATGGTGGGTGCCATCAGTTGAAAAGAGTTTGTGGTGAAACCCAAATCAAAACAATAAGAGTCAACTTCAGAGTGCCTTGCTTTCAGTTCTTCCTAATTGCAGAGGATTTGGTGATGGTTGGGTAGCACCTGATGAGGAGTGGGAGCAAACAGTTCCCACACTGCCTGCAGGGAGTGAAGTAGCTCCTTAAGACAAGATGTTGCTTGTATGTGCCAGAATCCCAGGAGGGCTTACATCTTGTTTTGGAGAAAGCACATGCAGTACTAAGGAGACTTTCCTTCAGACAGAGGTAGTTAAGCAGTAGTCTAGACTGCCTTGGGAAGCAGAGATGGAGATTTGCTGGAAGCTTTTCAGAACAAAGTAGGCAAAGACTTGCCAGAAACCATCCAGGCACAGTGTAGGCCATGAGTGTAGGCAGAGGGGGGAGACTGTATTGCTTTTTCAGACTTCTTTTTTTCCATATTTTTAAAGGTCTTATAGAATCTTGATACATACTAGAAATGGAGCTTAAAATGTGACATTTGATGTTCACAGTGTAGTGCTTCCCAGAGGGTTTTGTGCATTTGTGTGTATCTGAACCCAAATGCTTAGATCCTAGGCTTTTTCCTCCTGATTCAGTTACCTGACTGCCACTGCTTTCAGATGAAAGTGATTTTCTAAAAAAATCAATGGAGATTTAGCCTTGGGACCCTTGAAAATGTGAGAGAAAACACTTGGGTTTTCTGCAGCACTGCCACTTCTGCACTGCAGATTGCAACCCATTAATTATAACTGAAGAAGACCCTTAGCTGTTTCTCCCAGGCTAGTAGGGGAAAGGATGAGATGGGTATCTGCACCTTGGGTAGCTGGAATCCATCAGCTGACCCTCCCCTACTGTAACACACAGTGACATAAATTATCTGTGAAACTAGGTGACTTAAGGACATAGAGCTCTCCTGTGGTCCTGCCTAGCAAGCTGGCTGTGCTCAGTCTAAGTATCACAGCCATGCTCTTTTGCAGCCAAAGTCAAAGATGGTCTGAAGATGACATCCATCCTACCTCCCTGTTGAGCCATAGCTGCTTCATGCTCTTGGAATGAGTGCAGGGTTATGATCTCAAGCTGCAAAGGAGTTACAGGAAGAAATGCCGACTGAGAGGGATGTGTTTCCATCCTAAGTCATCCACAACATGTGCTCTCAGCTCAGCCTTGTGTTTGCTGCCAGTCCTGGACACTTTCAGTCTCCCATGTGGTGCTGGAAGCTCTCTTTGCTCCTTGCTTAACTAAGCTTCTTCCCTGCTGCATCAGAGGGGATTTTTGTGCCTATGAGCAGGGGCCTCACAGCTATGACTCACAGTTCCCATTACTTATAGCTTAGCCTTTAACTGTGCGGAGGGGCTGTCCCTTGGCTTTCAAACAAAGCCTTCCTTTGTTATGCTCATGTTATAGAGGAAGCAAGTGTATGTGTTCACCCCACACATCCCAAATGGAAACCACGTGGCTTCATAGCTGTAACATGCGTGTTTGGTACTTTTGCTACAGCACTGCATGTTATATCACTCTTATCCTATTAAGTCTTTTCAGAGCTTTCCTTCCCAGCATCCAGTTTAGAAGCTCCTTAGGGAAATAAAATGCTTTCTTTTTTTGGTAATCAGAGGAGACTGAGCAAAGAGCACATGAAAATTATTAAATATGGTTTTATTATTAAATATGTGGCAATAGGTTGGTCTCTGAGTCACTCCCTTGAGTGAAAATGATTCTGAGTTGGTGGCCACATTTGCTGAAATGATGAGCTTAATGGAAATATTGTACAGGGGCAGTTTGTTTTCTTGTATGGTTTTCCCTTTTTCTTCTGACTTTTATTTATTCAAACTCATTTTGAAAAGCAGCATTAGCCAGCAGTACTCTGCAGCCAACATACTTGTGTGCATGCGTGTCTCTTGGCAGATTTTAGGTTTATGACTAGCGAGCCAAGACTGGACTTACTGCTTCCCAAAGCATTTGTGTTGTTTCTCCTGCTCTTTTCTCAAGTATCAGGTAATGAAGAGGGCCTGATTTTTCTTGCAAATGCTGGTGTGCAATGGGGAGTGCCTCTGCTCAGATCAGGGAGTCATCCTAGTGAGAGTCAAGGAGAGGGGGCATTGCAGCGAAAGTGCTCTTTATTGCTGTCTCCTCCTTCCTCACTCTACCCATCCCTGCAGGGGCTTCACAGTCTGTGGGGTGTTGGGTTTTTTTACTTTATTTTAGGAACTATATTGTGTTTTATAAAAATCCTGGGATTTCATGCAATAGAATAAAGCATTTCTTTTAATTTTTGTGGTGACAGTTTGTCTACAATAGCCAGCTTTTAAATAGGGTTCCTCCCCAACTGTTTGAATACAAACAGCTGTAACTAGTTAGCAAAACAATAGTCCAATATCACACAAACATCCAATCCCATCCAGTGTTTTTGAGACTTGCTTAAGCAGATACTTGGGCCTGCAGGTCTTCTGACATAGAAGTGAGACTTTGTCAGTGAATCAAGACTGTGATGGAGTAAAAGATCTCAGATCAACCAAATTCTCAGCATGCAATGACATGCTGTGTTTCTTTTTGCTGTGTTTTTGTTCAGTGTCTCAGTGAATAAGTGTCTGGCAACTACTGTGCTTTCTACTGTCTCTAATGTATAAGTGCTCATTGTTACATGACTGAGATAGGACTTCATAGTTTCACATGTAAAACATTATAATTCTGTGAGTCACATCTGAGCTGTGCCAGTATCCTCATATGCTATTCTTAGATGTGCTGGAGTGGTGTATCCCTGCTGTGAAATCAACTTTCTAATAATGTTTCCTTCAACCCCTTTAGCATTAGTTTCAATGGATGCACAATATACAGTTAGGTTGTATGTGCAGCAGTGTAGGACAATATGCTGACCTTTGTATGAGGAGAGTCAGAGTAACCACTGCCTATTTAACAACACTGGGTGTGATTTTTCTCCACCTTGTTGAGAATTATGAGCAAAAAGGCAGATTTAAACAAAAGCCTTGGCAATTGAAGCCTTTTCATATTCTCAGCACCTTTCCCTGAGGTGACTGCCAGGTGGGATCAGTGAGCCATGGCTGCCTGCATGTGCGGGTAGAAGTCCTGTAGCTGAGAGGGTGACAGCCAGAATGGGCCCCAGCTTGAGACCCAGGTGGAGGCCAGAGAGAATCTGCATGGTGACATTGCTCCATGCATTGTGGTTGACACTATAAGGCTTTCAGTAAAGCAGCAGGGGGTTGTGTCCATCTGTGCTGATGAAGGATTGTGCAAGGGAACGACCAGCTATTGCCTGGGCTCCCATCACGTTGGGCTAGAGGGGGAGGGAGCTGGTGAGGTTGGTTAGCCAACCTTCTGTTTTTGTTTCTTAGTGTGTGTCTTTTCTCCTCCTAAAAAAAAAAACTAAAATAACCCAAAAGCCAAAAAAACATCCACTAAAGTTCAGTCTACTTCAATTGTTTTCCTCACAATTAACTGACAAAATTTACTTGGCTTAGAAAGCCAAGCTGCTCCTGGCCAAGATCCTACCACAAGAGCTCAGTACGTGGGTGGAGGCCATATGCACACTTCCTACCTTTCCC